GAATGAAACTGCCAATGACCCACCTAATGTATGGAGTAATAAGTGTCCCGCCAACTTGAATATCTCAATTATTTCTTGCCAACCTTTCTTATTTTCACACACATACTAAATCATATAAATCAATTAATAGCCATTATTATGTATACATCTAATACAATTATCATAACATGTAAATCCACCGAGTGTACTTATCAAAATATACGTATTATGCTAAGATGTATGTCAGATAAATTAGTAGCACATTTATGCATATAATGCATTTCATGACTATATTTGAATGCACTAGCTCTACACATTTTACATATTCTTTATTCTATTTATTTCATTTAAACATATATACACAACTACTAACCTATGAAATTCCTATATGGTTTATGAAATATCAAATGTTACAGGTTGAAAATCATCTAAATTAGGAGAAAAATATTTTTAATCAAATTTATGAGAGATAAAAATTATAGAAATCAAAATTAATAAAATCAAATATGTGATGAAGGTTAACTACCATGTCCTGGACACTTTTCATAACTAGAGAAACAAATAAAAAAAAGATCAAAAAGTAGCTTTTCTCCTCTCTTTCTCTCTCTCTCTCTCTCTCTCTCTCTCTCTCTCTCTCTCATTTTCTCTCTAACACTTTTCTTCCTCTCTTTCCCATCCAAAAAAGCAAATGAGGGTGAGGGAGGGAAATAACTTAGGGTATAGAATATATAAAATCGATTTAGATATTTTTTTTTTAAAATAAGTTTAGCGGAGTAACAACACTCCAATCAACAACCTCATAATATCGGCCTCAAACTTTTCAAAACCCAAGAGCCTGGCACTGCAACTCCACTATGTCGCTCATTCTTGAACTCAAACTACAGAGAGAGAAACATTGTTGATAGCACAATGCCGCAACGCTCTTACCTAAATTTTCATATATGAAAGAAATTTCAAATAGATCATTTTTAGTTCGTTAATCTAATGCAAATGAAGGCCATTATAGAAACTTAGTGGGCTTGGGTTACTCCACATTAATCCTCTTTACCTTGCACACAGTTTCTTGCTCATTTGGTAGTTTTTCATTGCTAACAGGCTTCTTGCTCGTTGATGTAAGCCTAAATATTGCTCACTATGGAAGCCACACTCCCTCAAATCTTCACCATAATGGAAGCACCAGAGATTTGTGGCCGGTAAAGCTAATAAGGATTTCTCCTTAAACCACCTACCACCTCTCCCTTTATTTGGGACCCTTAGTGGAAGGGGAAATCCTTACAAGAGATTGTTGACAATCTCTCAACATGCTGACATATCTCACCTTACACTCATGTTAGTGCTATCATTCATAATCACTCTTTGAACTTCCTCATGGCCATAACTGCTGCTACCCAAGAACTTTAATCATTAGGAGATAGCATAGTAAATAAAAATAATAATATTTGTTATCATCAAAATCACAAGACTTGAGCCCAAATATGTAACAAAATTTGTCAAACAATTTATCACAACCCAAGATCCAAAAGGGAAAAATTAAATCTTTTATCTTTTAATTACAAACTAAAGCTATTATTCATCCATATAAAAAGAAAGATGTAGAAAATATCATATCATTTCATTTGACAAGCATTAATATGCACATTTTTATTTATATCCCAAAAATTATATACAATTGCTAAAAATCTTATCACATTAGTCTACACAAAACTTTCTAGCTACAAAAAATGAACAATAAAATAAAAGAGTTATTTCTACAATAATCTCAAATCAGCTTTACTCTATTGGGCCCTTACTCTTACCTAACCCAAGTTACCTGAACCTATAACAATAATTAATACATGGAAGTTGAAATAATATATATGTTATCAATCAGAACATATTAGTATGAATATATAACAATAAGAGCATGTGATAATCAATATGAACAACATTATTCACATAAATAGTATAAATCAATGCTTTCATTATAGCTCAATAAGTAGTAAGCAATATCATAAAAATTATAAGTACATTGTACCATTTTTATAACCATGGAAATTAAAACATAATATATCAAATCAGGAATATGTGTATTTTTATATTCATTATCAATGCATGTGTATCAGACATCATGTAGAATATGTATAAATGTAATGCTTGATGTAATATTATATCATTGTTATCATTCTTATTATGTACCTATATCAGTCATATCATGTATCATGTTGATGCCATATCATATCATTTATAGAATTATTATTCCATGTTATATTATGTTAATTTATTTGCAATTCTATCATATATGCATTTCATATTTCAAAAAAGATAGTACATCTAACACTTGTGATACTTTCCTATTTTAGGTCTACTATTTTAACCCTACATGAATTAGTCTCAACTATATATTAGTCATATAAATAGGAATCAATCATATCATTCTCAATTACAAGTTAGGAAACTCATTTAAGAAGCCATTTGTTTCTATCCATCATCATATCATATCAATATCTGTATGCCTTCCTTTTCTTATCTTTTAGGATCACACTATAAGCCTTATTTTAAGGAACTCATGATGACCCACCTTCTATATAGAGTAATATATCTCCAGCCAACTTGAATCAATCAATTATTTCTTACCAACCTTTCTTACATTCACACACATACTAAACCATATAAATCACATAATAGCCATTATTATGTATACATCTAGTACAATTATTATAACATGTAAATCCACCTAGTGTGCTTATCAAAATATATGCATTATGCCAAAATGTATGTCAGATCAATTACTAGCACATTTATGCATATAATGTATTTTATGACTATATTTGAATATGTTAGCTCTACACATTTTTACATATTCTTTCTTCTGTTTATTTCATTTAAACATATGTACACAACTAACATGTGAAATTTCTATATGGTCTATCAAATATCAAATGTTACATGTTGAAAATCATCTCAATTAGGAAAAAAATATTTTTTTTATCAAATTTTGAAGAGTTAAAAAATATATAAATCAAAATTAATAAAATCAAACATGGGATGAAGGTTAACTACAATGACTAAAACACTTTTCATAACTAGAGAAACAAACAAAAAAATGATCGAAAAGTAGCTTTTCTCTTATCTCTTTCTCATTTTCTCTCTAGCACTTCTCTTATTCTCATCGCCAGCCAACAAACCAAATGATGGAGAGGGAGGGAATAGCTTAGGGTATAGAATATATAAAATTAATTTTGATATTTAAAAAACAAGTTTAGTGGCGTCGCAACACTCCAATCCACAACCTAGTAGCACTAGCCTGAAACGTTTCAAACACGAGAGGTTAGCACTGCAACTCCACTATGTCGCGCTCATTCTAGAACTCAAAATACAAAGAGAGCAACATTGTTGTACTCGTCATCACAACGCGGTAACGCTCCTACCAAGATTTCATGTATGAAAGAAATTTCAAATGGATCATTTACAGGTCAGTAATCTAATGCAAATGAAGGCCATTATAGAAACTTAGTGGGCTTGGGTTACCTACCATTAATTCCCTTTATCATGCATATAGTTGCTTGCTCATTTGGTACTTTTTAATTGCTAACAAGCTTCTTGATCATTGATGTAAGCCTAAATATTGCTCACTATGGAAGCCTTGTGCCCCCAAATCTTCACCTTCATGGAAGCACATGACATTTGTGGCCAGAAAGCTAAGAAGGATTTCTCCTTAAACCACCTACCGCCTCTCCCTTTATTTGGGACCTTTAGTAGAAGGGGAAATCCTTACAAGAGATCTTTGAAATTCTCTTGACATGTTGGCATATCTCACCTTATGCTCCTATTAGTGCTATAATTTTTTCTTCTTTTCTTAATCCTACATCTTTTTTATTATTCCTTACAAATTTGAGATATTATTTATTTTATATTGGAATGAATTTAATCCTAAATTCTAAATAAATTATTCTATGTTGACACCAAATTATATTTGGAGATCAATTAAAATGTGCTTCATCTTTTTTTTACTCGATATCTATATTGAATACCGCTAAATACCAGATGAATATCACATTCTAGTTAATTGATAGGTTGTCCCTCAATGGAACAATTATTAGGTCAGGTGTCCTGACTTAGCTCTACGTTCAGACGCCAATAACATGTCGCTACGTGCTCTTACTCTTTACCGCGCTGCCCGACGACTTGACCCGGACCGGAACCCGGGATTACTATGTTTGCGTATTGCTAGGTATTGCTCGGTATTGCTTAGCAATAATTAAAAATATCGCTCTGTAAAGACCAATACCGAGCAATACCTAACGAAACTCGGTATTGCTCGGTATTGCTCGATATTGGTCTTCACATAATGATATTTCTCGTTATTGCCGAGCAAAATCGATCAATACCTAGCAATACCGAGTAATACCTAGCAATACACGAACATAACAATCCCGGGACCGTTCCGGGTCGGATTGTCGGGCCGCACGATAAAGATTAAGAACACGTGATACTATTTTACTAACGTCCGAATGTAGAACTATATCAGTCACCTGACCAAATAAAAATTCTCCTCAATGCGGCAATTGCCCAGATTTCGTTTACAACGAATTTTATAATATTTCGCTCTAACTCTTTTATGCTAATTGGTTTAGCCGTCGGCGGATATTTTTTATTTTATATTAGCAAAATGATTCGTTCAAACTCGAGTCGACGGGCCAATCGCCAGTCGCCCACAAATGTGGAGAACGCAAACAATGATCCTCGTTGTGCGGTAATGTTACCGTGAGTAACAATCATCAGAAGCTTCTAGGGCGGCGTGATAACTGGCGTACCACTAATCTTCCTTTATTAAGGGTATTACTGTAATTCTTATTTGGACGAAGATAGGATTGAACGGCATTCTCGTTCGGTAATTTGCTATGCAAGCGTTCGCATATAAAGTTCCTACGTTCACTTCTACTTGCCGTAGATCTTCTCATAGATTGATCTCAACCATTCATTAAACATTATCCGCCTAAAAATGTTGTGTCAGATTAGATATCTACTTGTTTTCTTGTAAGAAACGGCGGAGGAAACTATCAATATCTGCAGAGGAGAGAGAAAGAGTTATACAGGGGGAGGAGAGACAGAGAGGAGATAGAGAGGATTCGGGTTGGAGTTAGGGTCTTGTGCGCATCCGAATGATCGGGGATTGTCGGAGGACGGCACGGAGTAGAGATCTGGCTGGTGGTGGTGGGGAGAATTGGTGGTCCGGTGATATGCTCGCTGATGGAAACAGGCAAGTGGAGTTGGAGTACGTCCGGAGGCACCACCGCCGCGATCCTAAGGAGAATCAGTGCAGCTCTTTTCTAGTCAAGCACATCAAAGCTCCTGCTCATCTCGTGAGATCTTGTTCTTTTAAGCGTATGGGTTTGAATGGGTTTTCTTAAGTTCTCTTTGATGAAAGTTGATATTTCTTTGATGTTGTAAATGGAATTGCTAGAAATGTGTTTTTGTAAATGTATTGCTTTGTTTGTTGAAGTGGATTTCCTTCTAAAGGGCGATTCTTCTTAAGCCTTGAGCTTTAAATTCTTGTTAGGTCTGTGGATGCTTATGTTTCAATTGTGTTGGCAGGTTTGGTCTTTGGTGAGGAGATTTGATCAGCCGCAGAAGTACAAGCCGTTCATTAGCCGATGTGTGGTGCAGGGGAATATGGAGATTGGGAGTGTTAGGGAAGTTAATGTTAAGTCGGGATTGCCGGCCACTACCTCTATGGAGAGGCTAGAGCTCCTTGATGACAACGAACATGTTCTAAGCATCAAGATCGTTGGAGGGGATCATAGACTCAAGGTTTGAAATCACTCTTTTGATTTTTTTTCCCCCGCATTAATGTGATGCAATGGCTTAGTGCAATCATGAGTCTGTGATAAGCTATTGAAAATGTGCTTGCTGTCATTTTTTTTTTCTGCGGACTTGAAATCGTTTTCCTTGAGCATTTGTAGCGTTACCCTGTAAAGTTGTTTGGTTGTGTTGAGAAATATTCTAATGGTTTAGGCATCTAGTGAAGCTGCATGTGAATTTTAGGATTCTATTATGTTTTTAGATTTAATATTGCCATCATGCTATTTTAGATTATATTTGAGCGCATTTATTATTGCATCTTGCCATCATAAATTTGATTGACCGGCACTTCTCATGGTGAAGGAGCAAATTTCGACTGATGCTATTTCTTCTGTTTGCAGTTATTGGATAAGTTTGATTTCTGTTCGGCCTATTAGCTCTAATTGCATTTGCTACCATTCGATGTTTTATAACTTTAACATGTGGTAAAGATCTTCAATGTGGGTAGAGTTTGGAAAGTTGAAACAACATGAGCTCAGTAGCATGTCTTGAACATTAACAATTGAGAACTAGGGGTTGGTGCATCCTTGAGGGGCAAACCTTTAGGAAGTTTTTTTGATACTCGAGTTAAGTTTTTGATAATTTAAAGAACTTATTTAACAAAACTGATTGGAGTAGGTTATAGTTTACATGAAATTGCACTGATATAGATTCGGCGAGTGGGAGCCTCTCATTGTGAATGGGTGGGATTAACAAATGAATATGATCTACTTGAGGGCCCCATTTTTGATAGAGGGCCAACCACACCTACGAATTTTGCAAAAGTACTCAGTGAGTGGTCTAATTTATGGTTTGAGCCTTATTAGCCTTCCTCAAAAGAATGTTGGGAGGGTAATTTATCCCATATTGCAAAAGTACTCAGTGAGTAGTCTAATTTATGGTTTGAGCCTTATTAGCCTTCCTCAAAAGAATGTTGGGAGGGTAATTTATCCCATATAGCCGTAGATTCTTCATGATTTGATTTTGTGAGCTGCACCATTCTGCTATTGTGAAGCATGATGAAAGACAAATGGCCAATTTGTCTTCAATAGAAGGGTGTGCGTGTCGTCTTACCGTCCTTAGGATCATTGCTTATTTGATTATATGATTAATGCACTTCCTGAAGTGATTATGATGAATAATTGACTCAAATTAAGTCAAATAGGTTGAATTAGGCCGTGTTGGGTTTCTTTGTACTTGTTTTCTTTCATTTGGGTGAGTCCTTCAGTAAAATAGAGGGATTTTATCATATTCAATAGCAAAGGTTAGGGTCAGTTGTGACTGTTAGTTGTTTAAGGCAATGTTCAACACCATTTGTTCAAAGTGGTGAGGGGTTGGTGCACTGCACTTTGAGAGGAGCAAAGAAAGGCATGGGACTAAGGTGCATTACAGTGCATATAAACTGTCTCACCCTATAGTATATTTTATTTGAATAACTTATGAGAGAAAACATTGTGTCCATGATATGTCATAGCCTACCTTTTTTGCTACTATATGTTTTTTCAATTTCATGCTATGCTCGTGTCTTATTTTAGTTCATGTACTTCATTGGTTGACATCATACATTGTTGTCCAAGTCCAATTATGTGTCAAGTCCTTGACATTAATAGTTGTCGTCACCCTCTATGCAAGGACGTTGCACTTATATGACTAAACTAGTCATGGGTGGAAAGTAATGTTCGCGCTTACTTTTGGTTCTTTATGAGTTGTTAGCCTTAAGTATTGGGATACTAGGACACATGATGGGTACAATATTTTATATGAATAACTTATGAAAGAAAACATTTTTTCCATGATATATTATAGCCTGCTTTTTTTACTATTATATGTTTTTTCCATGTCATGCTATGTTCGTGTCTTATTTTAGTTCATGTTCTTCATTGGATGACATCATACATTATTTTCCAAGGTTAATTATGCGTAAAGTCCTTGACATTCATAGTTGACTTCACACTCTATGCAAGGATGTTGCACTTATATGACTAGACTAGTCATGGATGTAAAGCGATGTTCGAGGCCACTTTTCGTCCTTTAGGAGCTGTTGGCCTTAAGTGTTGGTATGATGGGTACACTATTTTATATGAATAACCTAAAACATTGTGTCAATGTTATGTGTTGCAACCTAAGTTCTTAAACCAAATAGGAGCATACTTGGAATACAAACTAAGATACTTCCTTTTCATATCACATAAACAAATACCAAAATGATAGACACTTAGTTGAAAAGTAATATGGGAAATTTGTTAGGAAGTCGCATAAGGCAGAACAAATAAAAAAACACATAAATTATAAACCCTCGGAACAACCACGAATGGTTACCTCTCATGCAAACACAAACTAGGGAATATGCTCAAAGGAATGGACAAGCCAGTGATCCGCCACAGGAATTAGGTTCCAGCACAAGACCATGCTCCGGCAAGTACTAGTAAAACATGACAGAAGCCCACTTACAACTCATAATAGTTTATAGAAGAAAGATACATGTTGAAGGGAAATCGTGAAGAGAAGAAGTAGAAAGAAGACCGAGAGGAAGAAGTAGCGGTTAGAGAAAAGACAACTCACAAGCTAAGAAGAAACCCTCAGGTTTTTAAATGACCACTCTCCGAAAACTCCTGCACAATGAAATTCAGCTACTATATGGTGAAAGAAGAGAAAAGCTAATTATTAGCTCACAAAAATGTTCCTCTAAATCAGCCATTAAGAACCATCAAACTCAGCTCATGCAATGAGGAATTAAAGTTTCCATCATAGGATTCAATAAAAGGGAAAATCAAGCAGCCAACAGCAGTGAAACCGAGCAACCAGCAGGGAAACCCAACAACTAGTAGGGAAACCGAGCAACCATCAGGCAAAATTTAGTAGCCACTAGCAAAAAGGAGAAGAAAGCACATGTGGAATGACAATTGTATGAACCGACTTGAGAGCACCAAACACTGCGTGATCATGGATTTTTCATCATAGGGCCATACAAAATAAAATTACATAGCATTTAAAATACAAGAAAAAAATGATATAAATCTTGACTGCATCAAAATGTCATAGCCTACTTTTTTTACTATCATATGTTTTTTTCTTGTCATGCTGTATTCGTGTCTTATTTTATTGCATGTACTTCATTGGACAACATCATACACTGTTGTCCATGGCCAATTATGTGTCAAGTCCTTGACATTCATAGTTTTTGTCGCCCTCTATGCAAGGGCGTTGCTTGCACTTATATGACTAGACTTGTCATTGGTGTAAAGCGATGTTCAGGCCTACTTTAGGTCCTTTATGAAGCCTTAAGTATTGGGATATACTATAGGACACATGCGGGTGATATATATGACAGGTACACCATTTTGCATTTTTTTTCAATCCATTTCAATAATAATTAATATGTTCAAAATCACTTGAGCCATATTACTGATAATTAATATGTTCAACCCACTTCTTTTGGCTCCATATCACCATTCGTTTATTCCATAAACTAGTTTAATATCAATGTACCATTTGATCAAGCTGCTTACACTCGTCTCCTAAAGCTTGTTCTTTTTTTTTTTTTTTTACCTCTTCATTTTTAAGTCCTAGATTTTCTAAATTTCCTTATATGCCCCATAAGAAACTTGTGTTTTTCTTATCTGTCACTGCAATGGTCGCATAAAATTTTGTATCTGCTGTTGAGGTTATCCTATTGTACAGCCGGAATGGCAGACTTTACTAAGGCTTCGTTTGGGTTGGCTTTCTTTCTTCTTTTTAAAGCAGCTTCCTAGTACAATAATTAAAATTTTTATACTAGGAAGATGCTTTAAGAAGCAAAAAGAAAGCCGTCCCAAACAAAGCCTAAATGTATTCAGCCTTTTGTTGTGCCGACTATATGCTTGAAATTTATATAGTTACATTTCCACTTATTGACTTGGGTTTCAGTTGTCTGATTTCACTTTCATTTTAATCTTTTTGGCAGAATTACTCTTCCATAATTAGTGTACATGCTAAAATCATTGATGGGAGGCCAGGAACTCTGGTGATTGAATCTTTTGTAGTGGATGTGCCCGAAGGGAACACCAAGGACGAGACTTGCTTTTTTGTAGAGGCTTTGATCAGGTGCAACCTCAAGTCATTAGCTGATGTTTCTGAACGCATGGCCGTGCAGGATCACACAGAACCTATTGATCAGTGATAAATAGTTATGTTTTGTGGCTTCATGAAAATCTTCGTAGCTCTAAGGCTGGAGAACTATTCCTTACAACCTGATTTCCTTAACACCCTCACCATTAAATTCCTCCCACCCCAATGCTCTCAAAATCACCGAAAGTTAGATTTAGGATTGAAATGAATTGTAGAAAAAGAAGGAAAGAAAGAACCCCTTGTCCAAATACATCCTTAATGGCCTCTGTTCATTTTTATGTTTTCTAACTTAGGTCCCCTTTTTTTCTCTCAAGCTACTCCTATGATCAATGTTCTTGCATATACGAACATCTTTGTGACTTTTCTTTTTGGAGTTTGTCTGGTTTGGTATGTCTGTTAAGCAGATAGGCTGAACATGTACACTTTAGTATAAATATGTAGTCTGAATGATCTCTTGGTTTAAATATTGTAATGAATTTCTTCTAGCATTTTTTTTTTTTAATTTAATTCTTTTGATGTGTTTGCATTGCTATAGCCTTTTAGACACCCAAGATCACCATTTCTGTTGAGCAGCTATAAATTATTCCACAAAAGAGTTTTAAGTTATCATTGTTGCCTATTGTGCAGTCATATGGATTGAGTCTCTTGCGTTTTGTTTGAGATAATTTTATTACTGTTTTCTTTGTCAGATCATTATCATTATTTTTATCTGGTCAGTTATTTTTCACAATAATTCATAAAAATTATTTTCTCTATAACAATTTTATAAAATAGAAAAAAAAAATCATTCCAAATAAAGCCTTAGCCTTAGGGTCTCCTGACTGTGCTTTAGGATGAAGTTAGCTCCTAATATATTCTAGTCTATACAGCTATGGAATTCAATGCAAATCCCAATCTGTAACGTTGAAAACAGTGCTTGAATTGCAGGATGTGATGAGCTATCTACCTTTTTCGTTTTTTATAAGTTTATCGTCCCAAGCTATATGACTGCCCCCGATGTTGTGGGAGTAATTATCACGTCCGGTTAAATCCGAACGTATCTGAATGTATACCGAGCAATATCGAGTGCTCAATACCGAGTTTCAGGTGACGTGGTGCGTGGTTATTGGTCTATGAACGCGTTTGATGAAAGGACGTAATAATAGCTCCCGATGTGGAGCTTGTTACAATTAGCTTGGCAGACACTAAAGGGAATTTATTTATTTATTTTGGCTTGGAAAGTCTCCTTGGAGGAGGTGGCTGATAAAAGTTTGGTGCTATCAAGAAACCTGGAAGATTGAGAAAATAAACTTATGTTTCTGGTGCAGAATCTCACCTTTTGTCTTTCTATTGAAGTAGGGTTTCGTTTGGGACGATTTTTTTATTGTTTCTTAAAACAGTCTTTTAGTATAAAATTTATAATTTTTTTATTAAAAAGTTATTTAAAAAAGTAGGAAGAAAGCTGTCCCAAACGAAGTCTAATTCAAAAATCTATTGGAAGGTTTTGTTAGGTGGGTTGGAAGCCTGAATTTTTTGAGAATTTTTAGTGGAAAAGTAAGAATCATGTTGATTACATGAGTACAGACATGCCTGCTTGTCATGAAGGATTGAGAAATGAAACGTGTCACACAGGAATGATTATGTAAGATGAATTTTGGCCCATCATTTGTGCATTAAAATATTGTTAGAATTTATTTATTTATTTTGGCTTGGAAAACCTCCTTGAAGGAGGCTGGTAAAAGTTTGGTGTTATCAAGAAACCTGAAAGATTGAGAAAATAAACTTCTGTTTCTGGTGCAGAATCTCACCTTTTGTCTTTCTATTGAAGTAAGGTTTTGCTTGGGATGATTTTTTTGTTGTTTCTTAAAATAATTTTTTAGTATAAAATTTATAATTATTTTTTAAAAAATTTGTTTTAAGTAGCAGGAAAAAAGTTGTCCCAAATAAAATCTAATTCAAAAATCTATTGGAAGGTTTTTTTAGCTGGGTTGGAAGCCTGAATTTTTTGAGAATTTCTTGTGGAAAAGTAAGAATCATGTTGATTACATGAGTACATACATGCCTGCTTGTCATGAAGGATTGAGAAATGAAACGTCTCACACAGGAATGATTATGTAAGATGAATTTTGGCCCATCATTTGTGCATTAAAATATTGTTAATTAGTCTTTGAAATGTTGACACCGAGTTTTTATATGGAATGACATTCTTATTGTTTTTTAAAGTAATTTTTTATAAATATTTTTGTAGGGTAACACAGGGATAATGAAAAGATGAAGATTAAGATTACAAGAACATTTATTATACCTCAACTTTTTCTTCCAACAATTTATTTTAATTATTTTTTTATGTTATTAAATTTATCTATTTTATTGAAGGCCATCATGGAAGTTGGTGTGTTTAGTAAGGGATAAGGTTTTGAAACTCAATAATAGTTTGTGTTGCAAACAGGGGTGGAATCAGCCCTAATTTTCAGGGGGGGCAAACTTATAAGACATATATGTGGGGGTCCAGGGGGCAGTGTCTTCTGGCGGGGTTCGACCTGTTGGGGGCAATTACCTAAAGA